AATACTATAGATTGCTTGGGTGGGTGGCTTTTTTTTTTCTGTTTTTTTGAGACAGGGTCTTGCTATGTAGTTCAGGCTAGCCTCAAACTCACCATGGAGCCCAGGCTGGCCTTGAACTCAACAGTACTCCTCCAACCTCACCCTCCCAAGTGCTCGGATCACAGGCGTGCGCCACCACACCCAGCTGCTTGGGTGGCTTATTAGCAACAGAAATTTATTTCTCACAGTTTTGGAGGCTGGGAACATCAGGGTGCAAGCAGACTCATTATCTAGTGATGGTCTGCTTTCTAAACCAAGATCACAGTATTTCAGTACAGCTTCACAGGGCGGAAGGGACAGACAACTCTCTGGGGACTCTCTCCTAATGCACTAGTGGAGCACATGAAGTTTCTCCCTCGTAACCTAAGCACCTCCCAGAGTCCCCATGTCCAAATACCATCTCACTGGGGATTGGATCTCATCATATGAATTTAGTAGTGGGGGTAGGGGACACAAACATTTAGCTATGTCACTTAGTATTGTAAACGTAGTGGCTCCCCCCAAAGCTTACTGCAATTCCAAATCATTAAATGATTCGGGTAATCTATAATAGCTACTTTACCACTGGCCTCTGGCCTCCTTCTAGTGGTTACAAGCAAAGGTTTATGCTTTTAAAGTCTTACAGAGTAATTTTTTAAAACTACTCTGTGGAGCTGGGGATTTAGCTCAGTGGCACCATGCCTGCCTCACAAGTGCAAGGTTGAGTTCGAAAACTATTCTGTGGATATAAATGTTCATACATAATTCATCCATGTATTCAGAATTCCAGTAGCACTGAACTATGTAAATTTGCATTTTATCTTCCACAATCTTGTTTTCCTCTTTACTTTCAAAGTAAGAATCATCATCAAAAGTGTACAAAAACCAATAGCAAATTTCTCTGCTTCTGTGTGCTACATTTTATTTATTTATTTTTTGAGACAGGGTCTCACTTTGTAGTACAAGCCGGCCTTGAACTCACTACGTAGCCCAGGTTCGAAGCTCACTGTGGCCTCGAACTCTCAGAGATCCTCCTGCCTCAGCTTCCCGAGGACTGGGTAACAGACGTGTGCCGCCACACCCAGCTTGTGTGTTACATTTCAACAATACTTATTAAGCATCAATTGTATGGTGAATTCTATTTAGGACTATCACTTATACAGCAACAACTGTCATTATGTGCCAATTTTAAAGAAACTTTTTTTTTCTTATTTTATTGATGAGCAGAGGGATAGGAGGAGAAGGGGACAACAGAAGAAATATATTTCCTAACTCTAAAGACCAGCACGTAGTTCAAAAAAAGGATGAGGTAGATTTATTAATCTGTGTTGAAGATGAATAGAGTCTGACCCCAGCCTTCAAAAGATTTACATAAAAGTATCAGTTCTGGGTGAATCTCATAATCACTAGAGTCACAGATGTCCAGTTCTTGAGATTTGGCTTTAGAAGGTAGGGACTGGGGCATTGCTTTCTAATATTAAATCAGAAGATGATACAGAGAGACAACACAATATGTTGAATAAATAAAGATATTTTTAAAAGGCAGAGGTCTTAAGAATTTGAAAATGTTTAAGAAATGTCAGTTTGGCTGGACCTGGGAGGATAGGGGATACTGACAGATGAGTAGAGGTCATCATAACCCCAGAAAGCAGGCTGGAGCTAGAGGATGGAGGCTTTAAACCAAATTAAGACATTCTGCGTACTATGTTATATTATGGAGAACCATTGGATAATATTGAGCCGAGGAAGAGATATAGGACACAAGTGATACTTCAGAATTTTTCATTTGTTAGCAAGGGTACAAAATAGAAGAGAAAAGAGGGCAAACAGTGAAAGGAGTTAGGAATCTGGATTCTAAATGATGTGTTATTAAATCTAAATAGCAGAGGGAATGGAAAGTAAGACTAGAAAAGCTTTACTGAGGTGTAATTGTCAGAATTTGTTCACCCATTGGATCATAAAGCAGCAAACAAGGGAGAGCACACAGTCAAAGATGACTCAGTCTCTGAAGTATACTACCTGAAAAAATGGTGTGCCCATTCAAGTGGAGAACGCAGAGCTGGGCCTAGTGGTACATGCCTGGAATCTCAGCACTTGGGGAGGTGAGGCACAAGGATGGTGAGTTCAAGGCCACATTGGGCTGCAACATGAGCTCAAGGCCAGTCTGGCTACATAACAAGACCTTGTCTCCAAAAAACACAAAAATAGGCTGGGGGTAAAGAACTCAGTAGAAAAGCCTAGAGATTAAGCCCCACGCCCCATACTTCTGTTTGCAGAAATGTCATGCTGTGATGGTGTATCCTCCATTCCAAAACCTTACCACCTCCAAAACAGTCTTTCTAAGGGATGAGAAACCAGAAGCATCTGTATGTATGACAGTAGCACAATTGTTAGTAAAATGTTTCCTCTTAACTCTATTTTTTATTCACTACTTTGAAATATTTTACTAGGCTCTCTTTCAATTCTTATTGCATATTATCATCTAAGTCTTACATTTAGATCTTTTTTCCTTTTTGACTTGATTTTTGTGTATAGTGTAAGATAAGGATCCAAGGTCCCTGTTTTGCATGTGGAAGTCTAGTTTTCCCAACACCATTTATTTAAAAAATAGTCTTTTTTTTCCATGTGTCCTTTTTGTGCCCCCGTCAAAAATTGGTTGCCTGTGCATGTTTGGATTTATTTCCAGGCTGTCTTTTCTGTTCCATTGTTTTTTCTATTTTCATGCCAATACTATACTGTTTTGATTACTATAGCTTCCTAATACAATTTAAATCAGGAAATATGATGCTTACAGCATTGTTTTTCTTTCTCAGAATCGCTTGGGTTAGTCAGGGATTTTGTGGTTCTGTTTGAATTTTAGGATTGTATTTCCTCTTTCTGTGAAGAAGTCCATTGGAATCTTGATGGGAATTTTCCACAACGTGCGTGGACCTGGTGGACATTCCACTAAGTGAAATAAGCCAGGCATGGAGAAATGTATTGCATGATCTCATTTGTATGTAGAATCTTTTCTTTAAGTCAAATATAGAGAGGTTATAACAGTGGTTACCATGGCGGGGAGGGTTAGGGAGAAGTGGAAGAAATAGATGTAGGTCAAAGGATACAAAGTACCAGATATACAGGATGAAAAAAAAAAACCTAGAGATCTAATGTACAGCATGAGAACTATAGTTAATAAAATTATAATGTATTCAGGATTTTAATTGATAAGTAGATTTTAGCTGCTCTTGTCACATTAAAAAAAGTAGCAGTGAGATAGATATGTTAATTTGCTTAACTATAGTAACTATACTATAGTGTCCTATGGTATCATTTGTAAACTTCACATATACACAAAAAATTATGCTTAAATAATATTATAGTCAAGTAAAATGCCAGAAGAAAATGACAGAGGGAAACTGGTAAGTTTCCCACACTTGGGGTCAAGTCTCCAAGGAAAGAATTTTGTCTCTGGGAGCCAGGTCTTGTGGCAGCCCTGAAAGTAGAATGTGAAACAGGAGTTAAAACCAGAGAAAGCACATCTACAGTAGCTATCTGGGTTCAGTGGGCACCAGAATAATAAAAATGTATGCTTTTTTTATTGACTGGGAACAGGTTGATTACTAGTGAGAGATCTGCCCCAGGGTTTGATGTCAGAGACACGACTACTAAGGGCTTTCTACTCCCCCTCAAGAATAATTTAACTTCCAGTGTTGTCTTCTTGGGTCCCAGACTACCCTATGGGCCGCCCTCCCCTCCTGTTTCCTACCAGAGATGAGAGATACTTGGCAGAAAAGTTGCTGAAGCTGCAGGTGGTCCCCAAGTTTCCACCCCCGATTCTAAGCCTTTACTTCAGCCTCTCTCTTCTCTGAGGTTGAATATGACTTCATTGCCTTCAGGGTTCCCACACGGTGCCAGCTGTAAAGCGCTTGCAGCCATGTCAGAGATGGAAGACGCATGCCTGTTTCTTAGGTCGTTTAACAGGCAGTGCAGCACGCACTTCCCTTGCTGGTCTTGCGGAGCACCTTCCCATGCTCCACCACCCAGTGGGGCCGTAGCCCTTCTAATTGGTAGGGTCTCTATTTGGAGCTCTTCTCTGTTCAAATATCATTAAGTTTATATTTTTAATATTATATTCTCCTTAGAAATTCTAGAATTCACTTTTCAATAAAACTTAGTGGTTTTATATATATATATATATATATATATATTTCTTTTTAGAAGGCACATTATTTTTCAGTGCTCTGATATTTTTCTGATTCTTTGTAACTTTCTAAAAATAACTGCTGGTGAGCTCATAAATTCATCAGCTAATCCCACTGGGACTCAATAATGCATATTACAGACCCCCTGATTTTTATATATTAGATATTCTCCAGAATTCCCTTACCTGTTATTATCAACATAGCTATATTGACAACGTCTTCATTACCTCCTAATTGCCCATACTTCTTTTTCTTGTTAAAGATCAATTTTTTAAATCAAGCCTTGTCATTTTGAAAGTACCATAGACATGTTACCCTGTTAATGTTAATGTGTTTTATATCTTTCTAGCTTCTTTCCTCCTTTATCATGAGAACTCACAAAGTTTATTCATTACCTTTTGCTTTAGAAATGCATTCTTTTTGGGTACTGGTGTGCATGGTGAGAAGAAGTGGGCATATGTTGGCATTTTTCCCACTGAAATAAAGATTTTTGAAAGATCCTTCACATTTAAAGATAACTTTGTGAACAGTGGCATTCCCTATTCTAAATAGAACCTATCATGTCAATTGTGCATAGATGGTTGAAATTATTCTCTGACCTTTTGGTCTGGGACCATGTAAAATAAAGTGACTCCCAGTAATTGGAATAGTGAATGACTAACCAAGAAATTCTTCTGATTTATCTTTTGGTGGTATGTTACTCTACAGGCTGCCTGTCCGTCTGCTAAGTGTTCATTATTTATTGTTTATCACTAAACTTCATCTCTAACCTGTCTGATTCCTGTATGTGTGTGTGTGTGTGTGTGTGTGTGTGTGTTTGCACCATCGAAGAATGAAGATTTGCTTTCTTAAAATTATTCTTTCTATGAAGGGAATCATGAAAAAGGTAAATAAACTACTTCATTTAAAAATATTCTACTTATAGGGCTGGGGGTGCCACTCAGTGATAGAGCTTGTGCTTGTCCTTGACATGGGTTATGTCTCCAACAGCAAAACAAACCAAAATTTTATTCACATGGAACTTCTTAAGACAACTGCTACATAAAATGAAACACAACTTCAGAGTAGTTTACATCTGCAAAAATAAACATCAGGATTTGGGGTGCTAATTTACTAGCATACTTTGGCATCATTTTTCCCCATCTTCAACCCCCCTCAAAAACAATCCTAAGCCCTGAGATCAAATACTGAGGGTTTTGGACAAAGCTAACTTGTAAGAAACATTGGGGTTGGAGTTAGGACAGGGAGAAATAAAAGCAGTGTACATGACAGAGATCCTATTCTGTTCTTTGAGCATTCTACTTTCAGTACCTTTTCAATCATTTTTTGTTAAATTTCTAAAAGCTATTATATGAATATAACTTTCTTCTATGTCTGTTCCATTATAAGACACTTTTCTTAAATATGTAGTCTTTGGGGAAAACAAATGATACATTTCAGCAATTTGATCTTTCTCATATGATTTATAGTCTCATCCTTCATATTTAGGGTTTCTAATCCTTTTGACCATTTGTGCTGCCGTTACTGCCTTGAAATTGGCTACAGTTCATTTCTAAAGTGATTTCTAAGTGAGAAATCAAGGATGAATATTCAGTATAGTATTTTAATTAGAAGATCCCCTTCCTCTTAGTTATTTCACAGTGAATAACATCATAGACAAACAGTATTTGTGGAACAAACATAATGGAAAATAAAACAAGTATTCTTTGCTCTGTACAACAATACAAGAGATAGGGTTCAAATTATTGAGAGAATTAGTCTAATGTAATAAAAACTAATTATTCATTTTTATTTTAGCTGACCATAAATATCTAATCACTTGCTACTATAGCAAATATTACACAGTGCTTTTAACATCGTGAAATAAATTTCAGAGTCAAATAATCTATGTACAAGACTGTTAAATCACTGTACTGCTGTCGTTAATATACAGGAAGAATAAAAGTAATTCATAATAAAATGAATATGCATTTTAATATTTAAAGTACTCTGGCAAATCTACAGGAGAAGACATAATAAAAATAGTCAGATCCTTGGTCCTGCACCTAGAATCACCGTGAATGTGACAGCTACAAATGCAGGGTCATCCAGGTATGCTTACTGGTGATTAAAGTACCATGGGCAGTGGTACTTCATGTCCACATGTTCTCACAGGGCAAACTACTCTTGGTAATGTTCTGAAAAACACGAAGTACATAGTATCTTCAATTTACAAGGTAGTTGCCCTCCTAGAAAATTCAGTATATATGAAAACTGTACACAAAGTACTTCATTTGCAGAACAGATTCAAATTACAAACCCATATAATTATAAATAGGCTTTTCAACTACAGGAATAGCTGTGGAACACTTGAAAACCATGTGGGCTGCAGAACAATTCAACATGCTGTACTGCCCTGTAAATAACAGGATGTCCACCCATCCGTGACCTTCTCCTGCTCAATGCCAACAGCCTCTTCCAGTCCACCAAAAATATTCCCACCAGTGTCCAAAATAGCTCCGGAGATCACTGCCATCAAACCATTGAGTGATACTGAACAAAGCCCGTTTTTCCTAATGAAGCACTGTGACCTTTTACCTTTTATACTGAATTAGTTTTTTAGATTAGGTGACTGAATTCACCCCAAAATGAACTGTCCAGCTCGAATACGTAAGCCTGCGAATCCAAAAGAATTCAGAAATTATTCCCTGAGAACTGGCAAGTAGTTAATGTGGAAAAACACTTTACTCCCTACTTTGTGTATGTGTCTCTGGACCTGGAAAATGGGGATTTGAAAAGTAGAGAGAAGTTCACAGTCCGTACAAAGAGGAACTTTTTTTTGGTACCGGGGATTGAACTCGGGACCTTGTGCTTTTGGGGCAGCTGACAGAACCACTGAGCTAAATCCCTGGCCCCCAAAGAGGAACTTTTGATAAGGGTAATGTTGGGGCAGAGGAAAGAACTTGCCCGCTCTGCAAAATTATGTTTATCTCTTAAATAACATGGTTAGTGCTAAATTGACTGGTTTTCCTGTTACTGTCACATCATTGCAATTTATTAATGAATGGATGCTTTTTTTTTTACTTAAACTTCAACCCTTTATATCTTTTTCTGAGAACATAATTTAATAATGGCTTAGTGTTTCTATATTGATGGAATAAATACCACAACTCTTAACTTCCCCTAAAATGACGTATTTTTTAAGTACTAGAAAGCTGTTCTCAGAAGTTTCGATTCATTGAGCACTGTCATGGATAGATTTTCATATAAATTTGTAAATATTTTCATTGGACTTTATTCCTGAATTTTTAAATGGTCTCCAAACATATTTGAAATGTGTACATGCAACCCAAGATGGACTTGCAATTACCCAAATTCTAAGTGCTTCTTTAAAAATATTAAAAATCTATTTGCAAATATTTAGAAAAGATATTTTTGTATAAAATATTCATGCTGTCATTCCTTAGAGGATTCTACACGTGTATACACACATGCAGGCACACGCACACACACGCGCACCATTCTGTGTAATTCAGTTGGTGACCTACCTTGCTTACTACCTTACACTTACTAATCCCCCCTCTCTGACAGGTGCACATACGCTGGTGCAGGGTATGTGCTGAGAGCCAGTGCAGGTATTCAGGTATCTCCGGGATTCTGATCTGTTCATCCTAGGACTAATCAACAGAGAGTCATCATAAGCTAAAACTAAAAAGCTTTCGTAGTAATTTTATCACCAGGGAAATTTCAGAAAGACTAGCACCGGGAAAGAAGAAATAAAGGAGTTAAAATCACTTCAGACCATCGACTTCTTAAATCCCTCTGGATTCGTAGATTGAATTGGTTTTCGAGGGGTGGGAGGAATGGTGAGAGGACTTCCTTGAGAAAGCTTATAAACTGGTCATAGCCATGGTCACACTCGTAAGCGTAAGTGTGATCACTGTAGAGGAAATGCTAAGTGTGCCTGGAAGCTTGGGGAATGGAAAAGAGACAATAAGACAATTAGCACCTCTTCTTTTTCTTTCTTTTTTTTTTTTTTTTTTGGCTGATTGGTTTTGGAGGTGGGTGTTGTCTGAGAATGCCCTTCAAAGAAAGAAATACAGTTGAGGTTTTGAAATATTTTATCATTATAAGTGCAATGTAGTAGCTGTTGTTGAACTGAAACTAGGGTTGGAAACACTACAGGAATACAGACAATTTCATAAACCTCTCCAGAAACGAGGCCTCCTTCTAGATATACCCACAAAATTTTATTTAAAGTAGCCAGGTCTGGGGCTATCTAGAACTGTTCCTTTATGCTTGGAGAATGTGAATGCCTCCAAATTCAAAAGGATCCTAAGACTATCATTTGAATCAATCAATAAAAATAATAAAATATCTGGATGCCCCATATGTCCTAAATAATTTGAAATTGCATAATCCATTGATAGACGTATTTCTTGTCCAGAAGTCTATTAGAAATTGTGAAGTTACAGTTAGGCACTTTAGGCTTTCCCAAGATAGACTGACCTTCATCCTTCCCTTCCATCAGATAATCTGAATTTTGCCTGAAATAAGTAAGCAGATAGAGAAATTACCTCATTTTTTAGTCTGACTACAGTAGTGTTGGGGGATATTTCTCAAGGGTATGACTTCAGCATCGGAGCTGAGTTCCAAATGCATGCGCATGAGGCCAGCTCAGAGAGGAGGCACCTATGAAGGGGGGGGGATCTCTTGTAGGGCCAGCGCCCACAGATAAGTCACATGCACAGGCTGTAGCTTTCTGCTCTCTGGCCATAGAGCACAGCCATAGCATCCTTATTGTTGTAATTCCCAGATTGTGATACTGTCACAAAACTGTTGCTAGGCAACAAATGTGGTTACCGGGTCTCAGCGAATAGCTGAAGGGGAAAGCAAAGTGTTGCACCATTGTAGAGTAACCATAGCAATGACCTACTATTACAGACTAAAGAATTATCATTAACGATGTTAAAGTATCAGACAGAGGCCCTGAATTTGGAGACTTCTAAGCAGTGTCTCTGCATAACTGAGTTATATAGGAAGAGATTTCAGTGGTTCAGGGCTGTTCATTCATTATTTCTATCAAAGTCTTTGTAATTATTTTTATTTTTGAATTTTAAAAATACTCGGTTATGAAGCAATTGATTAAAGGTTAAAAGCTAGCATAAGAAATCAAACACAGACTAATGTATTTCTTCATCTATCCTCATGCCTGTATCTGTGTTATCAGCATTGCCTGCCTCACACTAAAGGTAGATTTGATTTGAAAAAAAAACAACAGTATACATTAATACTGGATCGAAGCCACAAAAGAAGCTGCAGTAAAATAGAGTAGCCCTGTGTAAATTGACAGCTAACCTGACTTATTAAAAGTGGAATTCCTCCTGCCACAATACGAGGCCTAAATGCTCTCTTGGTAGTTACTGCGTTGAAACTTTATTTATTTATTATTTATTTATTTTAGCGTCTCTAAATCTGCCCACAACATATCTGTAAATAAATAAATAAAACAATGTCGCCCGCTACGATGCTTGCAGGCGTCCTTGTCTCTCCTGCGTCTGGTCCCCCCCCCCCCCCGCCCAGCATCCCGCGCGATGTGGCCCGCGACCTCGCTGAGGCAGTGATGTCCTGCATCGCAGGCCGGGCGAGGCAAGAGCCCCCGGGTGCCCCAGCCCGGAGCCCGGGTGCGGCGCGGGGCGTGGACCCCCGATCCCGCGCGCCAGGGAAGCCAATCCCGCGCGGCCGGGAGGGGGTGGGGTCGGGAGGGAGGGGCCGCCCGCCGCTCCCATTGGCCCGCGGGGACCCGGCGGCCTCGGCGACCCGCGGGGCCAGGTCCGGCCGCGCTCGTCCAGCGAGGGGTCCCGGCCGAGCGGCCCGGGCTGGGGTGGCGGGGACGCGGTGCGGGGGCGCGGGCCGGGCCAGCGACGCCCTCCGTAATCCGCTCTGTCTCTCCCTGCAGGCACCGACCGACACGAGCTGACTTCCTGGAAGAGCTTCCCGTCCATTTTCAAATTCTTCGCCGAAGCCGCGGAGGCCAAGGGCAGCTCGGCCAGGCCGGCGGCGACGCGCCGCTCGCAGCGGATGCAGCCGGAGGAGCTGTGAGCCGGTCGGCACCGCCCGAGCGCCCGGCCTCATTAGCTTGCTTTCCAGGGTCGTGCTGTACACATCTAAATAGCGTTTTGCATTATTTCTAGATGAGTGCAACTGTCAAAGCAATAAGGGTGCAGCGGCCGCGCGTCCCGCGGGCTGAGGCGGCCGCGAGCAGACGGAGCTGACGGCCGGGCTGGAGCCGCGCGGTCCTACCGCCCGCGCTCCTCCCTCCCAGCGCGGCTCCTCGGACTCGCTTCCGATTTTAATTAGGGTTTCCCAGAAGGTATCTTAGATCTCTCTCTCTCTCTCTCTCTCTCTCTCTCTCTCTCTCTCTCTCTCTCTCT